ACCGAGATAATGTTCGTGAAATCCAATTTTACATAGAACATTTAATGGACTCTTTCCACAATTAGCGAATCGAGCCCCTATTCAATACTCAATGATAGATACATTAATAAATGTACGAATCGTATGGATCTTGTGCATATGATTTACCCATTCGTACTCCAAGTAATCACCCAACACCACGACGTGCTTGAACAGAACTTTTCTTACTAGTACTTTAACTAGTACTTTGACTATCTACTACTAATCAACCAGTTTGCACCCACGAAGCGAATTGTTATTCACACAACAGTAAAATATGATTCACATACAGTAAATGATACGAACAAATTCCCCCCTCCCCCACCATATATATTGATTTCCATATCCCCCACTTCTACATGCAATAGTGGGGTTGAGGCTTATTTTCTTCTTCTCTTTGCTTCTTCTGAGCCGTTTCTTCAACCGGCGCATGTGGCGTGTTGAAGTCGGCCAGTCATAGCCAGTCATAGCCAGTCATAAGCCAGTCAATCAAACCCTTTCCAGAACCCGTGACTACGCGAATTTCTGTTGGAGGTGGGGTTGACTCACGTCTCCAACCAACTAATAACTATCTACCTACCTAGGTGATACTCTTCCTTATTACTCCGTAGAGTGGCTTTGGGTACCTTTGATCACCGTTCTTACAATATATGAGATCAAAGTTGAGCTACCTACCTAAACTATTAAATGGAATAGGATAATTGATCAAATCAAATCAAATCAAATCAAATCAAATCAAATCAAATCAAATCATATCACCTGTCATTCCACAGCAAAGAAACCTCGACCTCGACAAAAAGGCGAAAGACGAGACACACGCGGACAAGTTGAGGCGTCTGTCTATCTTTTTTCGCGATTGCGCGCCGCAACCCTCATTTCTCTCCACACACCCACCCATAACCACCTGGGCAGAATCCACACACAGACCGAACCACCATTCGATATCACCCGCCACAATCATTATCAACCCTCGAACCCTCCAACCTGATATTAAACATCAATAAGTTATATCGATAAAATCAATTAATTGATCTCTCTCCTCTATTCTTGACCTGTTGACAATTTATTATCACGACAATTATTGCTATCTCCCGCAAATCTCTTAATCATTCAATCCACGAGTCATTGTCGCGTCATTGCGATTCTACATCGGCGTAATTTAACAATATCGAGTCCCACTTGACGCGACGGAAACCCGCGTTTCAATACACCTCCCCTCTGATGGCAAACAACGACATTAATGCCACCCCTATCGGTGCGCATGAACCGGCATTAGTAGAAACCCTCCAGAATTTGATATCGCAAGGGGACAACGAAGGATACCGCGCTGAGAAGAGCGTCGCAACACAACCCGCGATTGCCATCGCGCCCACATCCGACAATTCTCAATCGACAGTAGACGGCCAGGACGCTGTATTTACACCACCAGCCTCTGATGAATTCTCATCGCAAAGTACCAATCAAGATGGAGGACCTTTATCGCAACTCTCGCAACTCTCACAATTGGCTGCCGCACAACTACCACTTGAAAGTAATACCAATATAACACCACCAAAAATAAGCATCACTCTGAATGCGAGTCAGAAGAGAACCGCAGATGGTCATGTAAAATCAAAAGCGTCTAATTCAAATTCACCAAGTCCCAAAGGTCCATCATCCTCTCGAAGCCATACAAGAAATACAAGCACAGTCAGCAATGCATCTTCGGTCGCAAGTAGATTTGGGGAGGTCAGTAGAGTTTCTAGAGCAATAGGGTACTTGAACTAAATTTAGACAGCTATCCTCCGAATTAAGAACTCGACTTTCGTATGCAATGGTCAAGGTTAACAATGGATGGGAATCGAAATCAATCAATGAAGTTGAGACTATTGCATCACAAGCTGGATCTCCAACATCATCGAATTCAACCCTCAATAATCGCAGAAACCTTCACACGTCTCCTAGAACAGCTATAGCAAATATTCAAGGCCAGGGATCTAGAGATGTATTTGGACCACGACCTACAGCCGATTTTGACCTGTATACACGAACAGAACCACTGTCTCGAACCTATGAATCATTCTGGCGTGATCATTCTACCGCCAACGGGACTCAGTCATATAGGCATAACTTATATAACTCCTCATCGCCACAATCCAAGTCTCTCGCTCCTCCAGCTGATATACGACCAACACCTCCTTCTAGAAGATCAGACTTGAAATTCTCAAAACTTCCATCTATCCCACGCCACTCAAGCGCCAACTCGCATCACTCATTCAATAACTCTGCTCCTCAAACCCCCAGCGGGACTACTCATCGTCGCTCTGAGCATGCTACAACCTCTGGAAATGTACCAACAAGAGAACAAGAGAAACGAGAGACGTTAGAACAAGATGCAATCGAAATGTTGTTATCCATGGGCTCGCCAGGGAATTCACAAACCATTGGACCTAATTTAACTCCTCCACAACTGACGAAGAAAAGCCCCAGGCAAAGCCCTCTTCATACAGAACTTGGGCCGATGACTCAAAATAATAAGGTTAAAATAGGACCCCAGAACCAACGCAGAGTGGAGTTTGCAGAGAGTGTTAGTAGTGGGGGAAGCGACAATGGATACCAAGCAGCAAGCCATAGGAAATCCACCATGAAAAATAATCTTCAAAGCAGACGGGTAACGGACAGGATGTTGGATGAAATGGATGAGAGTAGTGATGAAGAAGTCGAATTACCTTTGCCACAGGGAAGACGTATACCAGGGCGTGTCTAAAAGCATGTTACGCGGGTCGATCGATTATCTTTACTTTTCGCAATTTATTGTTATACAGGGTCTCACTTAACCGATGAGTACATACCAAAAAGCATCCTTCAAGAAGGAAATACTAGCATTGTTTGGAGTATTCGACTTTTCACATCATCATTCGGGCTTCGATACCCATCCATCATCACATTCGTCTTTTGGCACTCGAACAGCATTCTCGGATTATGCTCAGGGTTATGTGATAGGTCTATATTTGATCATACAGTTTCATTGGCTCGGTTATAAATCAGGAGATTCGAGGGGTATCTTGAAGGGTATTTTTCGGGTGATGGCGTCACGTGGGGAGTTGGGAAGGGGTCATTTTTTATCTTTATCTTTTTTATTGTATATACATAGGTATACATGTGTGTATACGCATGGGGGCTAGGCGGTAATCAATCCGGTGCATAGACTAGCTTGGCAGCTAGATTTGGAGTAATATATTTATTGATGACTTGGAATTATATCTAGGTACCTACTTGGTGATACTGTGATCGAATCATGGGTTTATATTGTACAACGCACATCTTCCTTTGGTATTGGGAACCCTTGCTCGCTTTGACTCTGTATGTCAATCGAAGGGTTGGGAAAGTCTTGGGAGCCTGAGGGCATGTTGAATGCTGATGTTGAATGTTGAGTATAGGGTAATGAGTGTTGTATATCGAATATTAAGTAATAAGTAGTGAGCATTATTAAGTATCGATTGTTAAGTATTGTATTTACTGTTAAGTCTTGATTATCCACTTTTGATTGTTGATTCATGTTTCTTGATTCGCGATTCATAATTCTTGATACAGTACTTCGAGGATTGTGATTGGAGAGGGAGAGAGAGGGAGAGGGAGAGAAAGAAAATTGACGGTTGATTTGGTGGGGGAATGTTTGCAGATGTGTGAGGGTTGTATATCTGATGTATGGAGTTGTTGATTGTTGATTGTTGATAGTGATCGGTGATTATTGAATATATATAGCCTATAGGTATGAGTATGAGTATATTGGTATAGACATATATAGCCCTGAGGATTATCAATATACCTAATATGTATATACACCTGTAGAAACTTACATGCAAGTTTTTTCTTCTTTTTATCAGATTAGTTTCTGTGTTTATATAGGACTATGACGGCCTGTTGAGACAACTTCGGACATACCATACATAACATCCTTGTCTCCTGTATAATCTTCTTATTCAATATTGAAAAACTTATCATTCAAGCTATTGAAATAATTTCAAACATTTGATATATATTCTAGTTCTTGTACGTAGTAATATGATCTAAATTTTGTTTATATACTCTTATATACCTCAAATACTTTAATATATCTTTAATTCTATTAATTTGAATATCAAATAAATCTTTAACAAGATGAGCTATAATATAAGTCCCAAAATGCTTAAGGAAATAATAAGGGGAATATTAATAATGTAAAATTAATTTTTAAATATTGAGAAGCTGAAGATATTATATTTAGAAATTATAATATTTATATTGAATTAAATTGATATAAAAAATAGAGTCAAATATTTGAGATTAAGGATTTTATATATTAAATTAAAAGATTTGTATAAAATATGTGAATCTTTAAGTATTGTATAAAAAGATTATGTAGGAGATAAGAATGCTATGTATGATATGTTCGAAGTTGTCTTAACAGGCCGCCTTAGTGGAGTAGTAGAGTAGTATAGATGAACAATTTGACCTTTGAAAAGTTTAGAGTGGGAAGGGAATGACAAGCGAGCTCGTTTATACAGAGAACTCCAAAGACTATCCTCAATCACATAATCAAATTACTGGGTGAAATTGTTACTCTAATAACACTAAAATGTAGGTAATTTTCCTAGAGATGTAACGAATTAAAGAATTATACACAGAATGACTTTATCACAAGGTTTAAAAGATTGGTCAGAACATTGTATGTTAATCAGTTGAGATGTTTTACATTGTAGATGTTGGTAATGAGATGTCCTTTCTAACCGAGCGAGCACCATCCTTAGGTCTTGTACAGTCTTCTCCAATTCATTCGTATTCATCTCGGGTATAATCTTGAAAGGAAGATTCTCTGTTTCCTTGATAAAGCCTCAGAGAACTATTTGGCTATCTTGAAATCCTATATTTCTTGATCCCAATCAAGAGCTGCGAGCTCAAGTTCTGTACAAATTGACTTTGGCCAACGATTAAAGGTTCTATGCCCCACTGAATGCTTCAACCTACCAATCCATTTTCTCCAAATCCCAAGGTAACTCATCATCTTCTATTTCAGTACATAGATATGTTTCTTCAAAGGCCCCATCTTCCTTCCCTGAATCCTCACCTGTACAGCCTAAAGCAAGATTATTTTTGAGCAGAGATAATATAAGATCACCCAGCTCCTTTGTTTCCTCCTCACCAGAAAGACGGTCGAATGAATGCTCATTACAAAGACATCTGTACATAGCAACACATCCGCCGATTGATCCTTTCGAGTAATTACATTCGATAATCTTGTTAAGTTCGACCGTTTCCGAACAAAGAGCCCAAATCAGTGCACTTTGAGTCTTGGCAAGAAGCTTATACAAGATACTAAGCTTGGTTTGCACCAGTCTGTACAACTCTTGGTCTTCTTTGATGACCCCCTTCTCAAGATCTGAGAGGGAATCCCATCTGCCAACTGTATAGATCAAACATTCTCTGAAAAGCACTCCGTGGCGAAGTTTGCGGGCCAAAAGAAGCAAGGTTACACAATCATCTTGACATACGCAGGCTTCGGTATTGTATATTGTAGGTGAGACATCAAACAAGCTGCTCTTAAACAAAGCACCTGTCAAGGTTGCTGAAACCACTGGCAAAGCGCAATAGTAATCAGCCGAGAGTGTGAGTCTTTCGAGCTCGTCTGTAGTCTCAATTTTGTAATTCTTCGAATGAATAGCACAAAGGAGTTTTCGAACGGATTCAATTTCTTCGTCAGGTCCATCGACAAGAGTCATCTGTTGCTCTGTTATCTCCGGCGACTATTTCGAGAGTTAGCACTTAGTATTCATGCAAAGAAGTTCGCGGGAAACATACATCTGAAGCCGGCATCAAAGCCCAGCCTCCATCTTCATCAATGACAGAGCGATGGTCATATTTGAATAGTGCACAAGCGGGTGCAGGTTGCTTGTCGTCCTAGAATGCGAGAGTCAGTGATTGTCAATCAAGGGGAACTTTGGTATGAAATAATGAAGCCAAGTTTATCCTCTCGTCATTGGGTTGGCTTGCAGTGTTGGACATGAGAATTGTTTTGGATGAGATGAAACAAGCACCCCCAGAACTAGGTACTAAATAGGACTTATCAAGGAGATCTGTGAAACTCACCGAATCAAGAAACTTGCGAAAATAATTCGAGTGATGTTTGAGACCGGAAGAATGTAAATGGAATTCCTGGTTGAACACTGTAAATCGTGTGTCAGCCTTGACACCAAGTGCAAGGAAAACGATGGGCGATGGAGTTTCTTGTTGTTCTGGCGTTAGATCTTCATTGTATTTTCTTTTCTTGCTTTCTTGTGCCATTGTGATGAACGATGTTCAGTGTTGTTTATTGTTGAGAGTAAGAGAACTGTCGCGTTTGGTTGCTTAGAAGAGACTGACTCGAATTGCAGTACCAGTGAAGTTATTATACTTCAATACCAGGTGCTAAGAAACTTGGCAGGTCAGAGAGAGTCCTTTGGCCGGTAAGCTTCGCCTTTTGAAATTCCAAGATGATGGCATGAAAGCTGCTGGGTAAGTTTCTATCATAAAAGAGGAAGAACAAGAGGAAGAATAAGAGGGCTTGAATATCCGTAGTCAATTATGGCCAATGAAGTTGGTCAATTTGACTCGTCTATACTGCTAACAAACTATTATACAACATTGAGAACCATGGGTAGTTCGTCACGTGAACTCGAATTCCAAACCAGACGCTTTAATTCACTTTGCTTGGGACTGACAATCTATGAAAAACATATCGCAGTATGTGTATACCCTTTTCAGTTCATTAATGAGTAGGTAGTCTTTACCGATCAATTTTGAGTAATCTAGTTAGCTGCTCTCAATTCTCTGCACCTCTTGATATTCACATCACTAGCTTGCGAGATTACTGCGTAATTATTAAACCTTCAGATAATGAATATCCACTAACAAACTTTCCATGTATTTACTATTAATATCGGATACAAAGTGAATACTACAACAGGTTATTGGCGACAAATAAGCAACTTCTAGCATCCTAAATAGCCCTCATCTTACTAGGAGCAAGAATCAAACTTATCACTCCTTCAATTGAAGAATAACAACAAGGCTAGCTTTGTTTCCAAGAGTTACGAGGATTTCCTCTACTTTAAATCACAATCATGCTCTTTTTCACAACCATATTATAATACATCTACCAGTATTATGTAACATAACACACCACTTACCAGAAACTCAAAATGTCTCCAAGTATTTTCAAGAAGGGACTTAAGCCATCTGAAGAATCAGATTACGGAAATCCTATTATATTCATATCCCCAGACCATAAACTTGATGTTCGTCTGACGGTTTTCAAACAAGAGTTTCATGTGTACTCTTATACAGTATAGGCAATAGTATACTATAATAAAACGGTAGCGCATATAAAGCTTTTGATACAGTAGATAGTGCATATTAAAGAAATATAAACTTATCGTTGTATATATCATTTAATCAAATATATATAAAGATATATAGAAAAATTGAAATATTAAAGCTTAAAAATAAAAAGATAATATTAAAAATCAAAACTAATTTTAATAAAACTTAGATAATGAAAAAATACTTTCAAAATGTTTAAATTCATAAAAAATTATATAACGTAACGTATGGGGAACTCGGACATATGGGGAACTCGGACACTTTTAGCCCATCACCAACTTGAAACCGCAATAACTTTTATTATGCATACCCAATCACCTTCTACATCTGCTCAAATTGAAGAGAAGCTTCAAAAGGCTATAATTTCACTTCAATTGAAAGAATTTAAATCAATTAGAAAGGCTGCAGAGCATTTTGAAGTCCCTAAGTCTACCCTAGCTGATAGGCTGGCTGGGAAGAAAACACGTTCCCAAACCCACGAAATGGCTCAAATTCTTTCAAACGCAGAAGAAAATACTCTTGTACGATGGATTTCACGACTTACCATCACTGGATTCCCTGCTACACCTATGTTGGTGAAGGAAATGGCCGACGAAATTCGTCTTCGACGCGTTCGGGTCGCGTCATCTCGAAATCCTACCTCGACAGAAATTCCACCTATAGGCCACGAATGGATCTATAGATTCCAAAAACGACATCCAGAACTTAAAACATGCTATTCACGTCAATTAGAGTCTAATCGGGCTAAAGAAGCAACTCCGGAGAATATTCAGGCTTGGTTTGACGCGTTTCGCACGCGTCTCATTGAGCGAAAGTATGAATTAGATGATATGTATAATATGGATGAAACCGGATTTGGAGTTGGAAGTACTCAAAGTACGCGCATTATAGTCGATTCTACTCAGAAATCGAATTGGAAAGTTACAGCTGGCAAGCAAGAATGGATAACTGCATTTGAATGTGTCAATGCAGCTGGAAATGCTCTATCACCTATGGTCATTTTCAAGGCTCAGAATACGAATTCTGCATGGATTCCAAAGGACACACCTCAAAGCTGGCAGTTCTCTACTAGTACAAATGGATGGACCTCAAATAGCCATGGATTAGAATGGTTAAAAAGGGTTTTCGAACCAGAATCCAAGAAAGTGTCAGGTGACCGACCTCGACTTTTGATCATGGATGGCCATTCAAGCCATATTACAGGTAGCTTTATTGCTTTCTGTATAGATAATGATATTGATTTACTTATATTACCTCCTCATTGCTCTCACTTGCTTCAGCCACTTGATATTGCGGTGTATGGGCCAATGAAACGATATCATGCTTTAGAGGTCGATCGATATTCTCGAGCTGGTGTAAAGCGAATCCAAAGAGCTGAATGGGTAGAACTCTTTCAAAATATTAGAAAAAAAGCATTGAATTCTTCTAATATTAAAGCTGGCTGGAGAGGAGCTGGTTTAGTACCTTTTGCCCCACGAAAAGTACTCGATTCATTACCATTTAACTCCTCCCAGCAACCTTCTACTCCACAAATGAGAACCCCCAATCAAGACCTAGACTTTTCTATACTCAGGAGTTCTCCTCCAGATGGAACAGAACTAAGGCAAGCAAATCAGATCTTTAATACAGCTCTAGCAAGCAGTGGTTCTCCTGCATCGCCAACTCGTCGATATGCCAAGAGAATGACTAGGCTTGTAGAATCTCAAAATGCTGAGATAGCCCTACTTCGGAAACAGCTCTCTGATGCTCAGGAGGTAATTGAGACTCGAAAGAAAAGAACTAAAGGCAAAAGAGTCAAATTACAAGGTCAATTTGTCTTTAGTACTAAGGAAGTATTGAAAATGGTACGTGAGGCGGAGGAAAAACCGAAGGAGAAAAAGCCACGAGGACGGCCACGCAAACGCCCAATTGAAGAATCAGAAGAAGAGATTGAAGAAGAAGAGCTAGAGAATAGTTCAAGTGATTCGGAATTGGAATTGGAGGATTGTGTGGCTCGTAGAACAAGATCGCGTGTAGAATAATTGAAAAAGTGTCCGAGTTCCCCATATGTCCGAGTTCCCCATACGTTACGTTAATAATATTAATTTTAATATTAATTTTAATATTAATATTTAAAGATATTAAAAAGATCAAAATATTTAATAATATTAATGATTTATTATTAATTAATAATAAATTAATTGAATATAGGATTTGATATTATTGAAATCTAGAGATAATCTTAAATTCGTATATTTTGGTTTATTTTGTATCAATTAGAGATTTATATTCCTATATATTATCCACAGTAATATTTAATATTAGAATAATATTGAATTCCATATCATGTATGTATATATTTCGAAAAAAATCGATACGTACCACTAAACTAACCCGTATACGAATTACGGGAAATACTATTGCCTACACTGCTCTCACATCTTGAAGAAAGGATCAAATTACTTCCGCAAATTTCTCGATTCGCCTGATAAGCAAAATGAATCCGTATCAGACCCGGCTCTGTTACGATACGATTACAGCACAGTGTTTGATGAGGATGACACTTGGGGCTTGGTGACTGTTGCAAAGGTACGTAAAGCTCTTTATTTACTTGACGACAAGTTAGCTAATATACTGACATAGGCTCCGTTGTTAACTGAGGAAATGATATCCCGAACAAATGATATAGAAGGAGAAATTGAGGGGTTTCGACAACTCCTTTGCGCCATGTATTCAACGCCCTATACCATCAAGGATTTTGAAGAGCTATCAACACTTACTCGCATTGCAGACTTCTACTGCGCTCTTCCGATAGTTTCAGCCACCCTCACTGGCGCGCTTATTGATAGCCCTATATTTTTGAAACGAGAAGTTGAAGATCCATCTGCCTGCACAAAGGATCAGCTAGCGGAGGATTATGACTCTATGATTTTCCTCGCGCAGAAGCTTAGAAATCCCATTCTCTTCCGTGAGTGTCTAGTTCACATCGTAGCCAATTGGAAGGATAAAGATAATTTCAAGTTTCATCGTACTCGAAATGATAAAACTATCAGTTGTTCAATCAAATCAAAGTTTTGACGAAATGACCATCAGCTCGCAATATGCACTTTCGGTCGCGGTTATGGTGAGCAAGTTTTCGCGGGGTGCACCTGAACTAGCACTGGTACTGGTAGCCGCTGAGAAAAACTATATCTTTTTTCATCGTGAACTAAAAATGGCAGTTACATTTTTGGAAAACCTTGAGCGCAAAACTGGCTCAAGTGGGGGGTGCTGTAAGTTTTCTTATTTCTACAATAGATCCGTTATTGGCCAACAATCTTGTATTGGATCGTACCAATGACGGACCTGGCGAAGGCTGTTATAAGCATTGCTTCCTCTGCACCGAGATCGCTGATAATGAATTGCCTGTAAGTACGTACCTTTATTCTTCACTGTCTGTACTTGAACGAAACTAATACGACGTATCATCAGTGGGAAACCATGGCTGTTGACTGGTAGGTAAAGGCTAAAAGAGCCACAAGAAGAACCCACAGGTAGATTAACGTGAGAAGATGAAAAACAAGCTAAGGGCAAAGTTTTGATCTAGTGATTTGTTGTAGGTGGGAGTTTAGGATGTTTCATTGACAGGTTTTCCTATTGTTCGCGAGGATACAAGGTGTTACAAGATAACCTCGAGTAGAAGGGATTATTTGTGCAAAACACAAGATACTCTTTCTTATGAAAGATTAATTACATTCACGGTCAAACACTTGCTCAATATCCCAGTCGAGACATCATGCAGAGTATTGTTATTTTCTTATGAGCGATGTGACTAGACATGATCTAGCTACAGATTTCTCAAGAACTGATATTCAAATTCTAAAAGGTCATGGCAAGCTTATAAGTCTTAAGTGATGAGCTAACACCAAGGTAATATTTTTCAATTACCACCACAATCTGCAGCTTCCCATGTTGACACATCACCACTTGATAAGGTCTGACTGATTGGATGAGTATCAAAGAATATTTGACTGGAGAATGGTGATGAGTGTGTTATAATTCAATCTGTACAAACATATCTGACTAGCCTTCATCAAATCTAACCCCTTATTTCTCGCTAAATATTGTTGCATGCTCGCCTCTAACAATTTCTGATGTAACGAAGCAAAGAGTACTATAAAATGCATATATGGATTGAATTTCTCATAACACCGGAATTATTGTGTTTGATGTACAGCCATGTGCACATGAAGCCAATTTTGTTTTTATCAAGATTATATGATAGGTTCGACACGATGTTCAGACCAAAAAGTTTGAGTTTCACCGGATGGCAATCCCCAACACCGACTTCTGGGCGGCTCTGAAACATCGAAAATCCGGATATGATCGTAGAAGAACGCAATACTAGGATTTTCATTCCATTGTTGAGGTCCCCAACAATAGGGGCTACCGAGGCCCAGGTAATGTTTTCTGTAAGCGCTTACCCCAAAGATCCATCAGCGTCCAACAACAGGTTCTCGGATCCACACACTGGCTTCCCACTTACAGCCACAATCACAACTTTTTGAAAACAAAAGAAAACACTTAAAAAGCGGTGTCTCGGTTTCCATTAGTCCCATTCCAAAACCTCCTCAATTCAGAATTAAGCATAAAATCTTCCCCATTTTTGAACCCCCCTTGTTTTTAACCATGCCTTCCATAATATCCATCGCCGTGCTCTTCGGTCTTTCAAATCTCGTTTCTTACATTCCCACATGTACAGATTGTGAGAAATGGACGACACGCTCTGGTGTTACCCCAGCGTACTTCATTACCCATTTTAAAATGGCATGTGAAGAAGGAATAGTTCTCGATTGTGCTGGCGAAGCGCCATACTCTATGACAATAAACTACACACCTCCTGATGCCAGCAAAGAAGAGCAAGGTCCAGCGGTATATGATGCGTCATGCTCTGGATTGACTGGCCTTACGACGGATTACGTGGCATGCAATGCTCCATATAGTTGGGTAACAACTGCGGTTGGGTTTAGTGGAGATGTGAAAGTTAGAATGGAATTCAAGGCGAATGGACATAGTTGGGATGGGAAAGGATCGTATGATATACAGGGAGTTGAAGATAGTTTCTTGATAAAGCCGGATTTGTCGAGGGATTGGATTTAACTTTAGTGATGTATGCTAAGAAAGACTTCTTCGGTGGTTGAGACATCCCTCAGAAGTGGAGGAGTTTTGGAACTATGTTATCCAGAAAAATCGGCCTTGACGCACTTAGAATCGATATGCTCATGTCTCAACTAATATATTCGAACTTTGTCCTCCGCCGGGAGGACCTTCTTCAAGGACATTTTACAATCCTAAGTCTGTGAAAGGATAATTTGTATGTGAACCGAGCTTCTTTCTTTACACTTCAGTCGAGAAATGCGAATCACTCTAGATGGCCAGTTCATCTTAACATGTGCTCGATTATCTCGTTCCAGACCGGATCTCGTTCCTTCCCGGTTGATTATCATATTCGCTCTGCCAATTGATGCTATATGTGACACAAGCTCAGGTACCTGGGTAGGGATGTGATTGATGACCTCCTAGAAAAGTCGACTATCTGGCCGAGGCAAATCGAAGCATCCAGAAAGCTCTCACATCATGGAAAGCTTTTGGGTATGTATCTCAAATATGAGTCAAAAAAGCGGCCATTCCTGCATTGATTGTTTGTAGATGTTGGGCGCCTAGGACGTTGTTAGCTCCCCCATCTAGCCCACAGCAGAATAAATAGCAATTCTAAGTTACTATTACCTTCGATTGACTTAACATTCGCACTGCGAGGAGGTCCGTGAAACAAAAATTGTACCTCAACCACGAGCGACAAGGAACTCGAACCCTCAACCTTAGCCTGGAAAGCTTCCTTATGATAGGAGGTCCACACGCTGCCGTTGCGCCGATCACCCAATGTTGCTATGCAAAGCGGTTTGAAATTAGTCAATGAATCCAAGAATTTGAAGTGACATGTTAAATGTCTCGACAAATCCCACAATCACGTGCAATAGCCCTAGCTTACTTACGATTTTGCGTGCCCTATGAATTGCAAATGATTGGTCAATCTATCACCCCACGTTGATAATCCAGATTATGGTATTGGGTTGGGTTGGTATCTCTATCGTTCTTATCACTTAGGGTATTATATTTCTATATACCATATACCCAGGAGGCTGCATTGAGGTTATATAATTACTTTATACTTCAATCCATACCTTCTTGTCATTCTCTTTCTGAGTGTAACTGAATCAGCTTCTTGATATCACTTACAGAAACTGTCAGTCGCTATCCAGCAAACCTTTCGTCCCCAATTTCAAATTTTGGGGGTCGAAATAATATATATCACCAACATCCTTTTCTTATTCAAAACCTACTCAATACACATACCTCTTCATTATGGCACTTTCAATGCATAGTCACTCTGGACAATTCTGTCCCGGCCACGCAAAAGATACTCTAGAACAAGTTATTCAAACCGCCATTTCCCGGGGCATGCAAACCTTTGCATTAACAGAGCACATGCCCCGTAACTCAAATTCTGATTTATATCCTGAAGAAGTACTTTTTCAAACTCTCTTCCATATCACCCGCAACAATCTAACAAATCTAGGTCGAAGCCGGTGATGACATATCTCTGCTCATACCCAGACATGAAGCCTATCTCATTGAAGCCACTTGTCTTCGCGAAAAATACAAGAACGAACTCAATATTCTTATAGGCTTTGAAGGAGAATGGATTCGATCGGATTATGGACCTTTGATCAAAGATCTTGCTTCGAATGCTCTCATTGATTTCTTCATTGGTTCGATACATCACGTGAATGAAATCCCTATTGATTATGATGCTGCATTCTACACCAAAGCGATTGAGAAATCAGGAGGCTCGGAGGAGAAATTATATGAGGACTATTTTGAACAGCAGTATGAAATGTTGCAAGCCTTAAAGCCGAAGGTTGTAGGCCATTTCGATTTGATTCGGTTGTTGAGTGAGACGCCGGATAGAGATTTGACTGAGTGGAAAGGAGTTTGGGATATGGTCTTGAGAAATTTGCTGGAGGTGGTGAAGTATGAAGGGTTGTTGGAAATTAATACCAGTGCGTTGAGAAAGGGATTGAAGGAGCCATACCCGGGAAGACAGATCTGCGAGGTATGTATTACACGTGTGGGAATCCGATAGAGGAGATTCTGACCGAACCACAGGCATACATACGATTTGGTGGCAAGTTCACTATGTCTGATGATAGTCATGGTGTTGCGCATGTAGGAACAAATTTCGTTAAAGCGATAGAGTATATAGAATCTCTGGGGGTTGAGGAGATTTATACGTTCGAGCGGACTACTCTAGTTGGATCAAATGGTATCAATCAAACTTTGAGTTTGAAGAGTGTACCTTTATCAAGTGTGAAGGAAACCTTCATCCTGGGTTGATTTATATTTAGGCAATTATATGTCGTTCAAACCATGTTAGTATGGCGCATGTTCTCAGGTATGATGTTATTATGTGACCGCGTACCCAGGGCAATGAGGATCCATAAAGGAGAGGGGTATCATGGCATGAGAGTCGGCAAGTGAGGTGGCAATTCTGTATGATTTTCCCCTGTTTCTAAACATATTCTCACCATACCACAATGATATCAACTGTCAATCTTGCAAGTACGCTATATCAAGTTGTAGGCTCCTCTTCCAGGCTTGAAGCGCTGTAGCAGATATGCAACAAAAGAACTTCAAGGGGCGGAATCAGCACAGCTGATTGGGTGATCAGCGCAATGAAAAAATCGAAAGTGAATGCAAGGGATGAACAAAGAGTTTTAGGCGATTCATCATTTTTAGCAAACGAGTTCAATACCTGCGTATAATCTGATTCGTCTCCTTTGCTTCGTATAAATATAGCCGCAGTTACCTTACTTTCTTTCTGATCAAGTTCCCCGGAGATCTAATAAAAATAGACAATCAAGACCCATGAGCCATGAGTCCTCTTTTCTTCAGCTAGTAGCTTTAGGCTTATACTCAGGTTTTAGTCAGGAAATGGTTGTAAAAGAAATCTCGCCTTCAATATCTTATCTGGCGTGTATTTATTCTATTGCTGTCACTTAAGCTTACTATACCATCATTATCGAAAGTAATAAGTCTGCACAAGATAGTAGCACTATTAAAATCTGGGAAAATTCTCTTGAATTACTTGTGTGGATACAAGGACTCTTCAATCCGCTAGTGGGATCGAAACCTTCTCACTTGTGGCTATGAATTCACTGTGTGTATCTGCATTCAAGATATATCAGATTGATTATCCCTAGTTGAAGAAGTGTATACCATCAGTGAATTCCCACCGAGACCGTCGTAAAATATAAATACATCTACCCAAGCAACCGCATTCATTTATTCTTTGAGAAACATGTATCATCTCAATTAAGGATGACATGGGAATCTTCTCTTTGAGATCGACGTCGAGTTATTTAAAGGTTCATTCAAATCGATAGTATTCAAAAAGAATATCGGCCTTTAACCAACTCGAGCCGTAGATACATCTGTAGCCATTTTTTGATGTATCATTGCGGATTCTGTAAATATCGCTACGTAGGGTTTCTCGTCACCGTTTCTTCATACACGCTGTCTATGCTTGTGCTGTTCGAGCCTATTAGATGGTCGTCATCCAATCTCCTCTCACCATGTATATCATGATCTTGATCTTGACGTTGAATCTCCTCGCTTGAGATAATTACCATTCGATTAAAATACTTCTCAGGACAGCCTCCAGATTCCACACTCAAAGTCCGTGAGTTCGCCTCACTTCCAACTGCGAAAGCCGCTTCCAGGCAATGCATATATCCAATGAGTGTTTTCCTAATCCTTAAATAACAATCGAAGTCTCGATTCTAAAGAAACAAGATTGGAACGCATTAGAAATCGAACATCGTCCGGTAACCCACAGCCATCGTGCCTTTACTTCCCCAGAACCGCTTTGTTGCAAGGTATTCAGATAGCAGATCCATAATACTGTTGTGATATCTTGAGTTCTATGTACCATTCTACTCCCGGATTCACAAATTATACTACTTCGAAAATCTGTATCTTCACATCATTTGCTATTTCCAGTACCCGCTCTTTCAATGGATTCTCTATTCTAAGCTACCAAATTACCGAACAGTGTTCCTCGAGACTTTAAACCAGAACCGCCAAACTCAAACAAAATCATTCAATGCTTCTCTTCCATCGTTTTGAAAACCAAAATGTATCGATACATACAAAGAACAGTTTACTCAACCAACACTTATCCCAGATTCCTTCTACCGTCGGACTTCTCTTACATCGACTTTCCATTACCATCTAAACCAAATCGATTCAAACATCATCGTCACACATCTCATCTCCCTATCATTACCAAAACCCACCATTATCGCTCTCACCAACTCTTCACCAGCTTGAGGACCGAAATTTCTAAAACTAGATTCTGCCAATTCTACCCTACCTCCCCATACCAGAAAAATCCATCTCATCATCCACAAGACACCCTCCTACTCCTAAGTCTCATACGAGGTTTCCTGTTGCGCGATTCCATGCCCCTTTGACTTTCATTATGCATGGAGTTTTTATACTCTAGAAATCATAACTCATTCCATTCATGGATGAATTCATCCATTGTCCAATAAAGACAAGACTAGCCTAACAGTATACACATCCATCTCTCAATGCCTTTTTTCGCACATCCAATGATCCTACATTCCCTACCCGTCACAAAAATCAAAATATAAAACTGCTCAGCAAACAGACATCCCAGCATTATAGTATCAATAAGATGGAAAAGGCGTAATTTCATTAGGTTACCCACGCAAAGGATAAGATAAGATATTCTGAATTGACCTCAATGGTATTTAGATTTTCATCTCCATACTTCCTTGAATTAAACATCGAAACAGTCGCTCGCTCACATCATCCCATATTCTGCGGCCACTGCCGAAATTTACATGACTACTCATCACTCAAAGAACGATGATGACAATGACCATGACTACAATGACAATGACAATGATAACGACAAGAATAATGATAAGAACAACAACAACAACAACAACAATCTCCAACCCCCAGCCTCGAAACGCAATGTTACCAAAACAACTCGATCTACTCTACACCCCGTACAGACCAGACCATTTCCTCATACACTACCCTAAAAGATCAAAGCTCCTACTAGAGATGCGTTTTCCAAGTCAATGATATAATGCATTGTCTCCATACCTACCTACTTTGAAGAGACTTGAAATTACAGCAGTATACTGAGTAATTATTCTAAATTATTTTTAATTAAAGAAAAAGATATAAAATTTCTTAGTTTAGATAATAAAATAGATCTTGGAAAATGATCTTATAATTTAATAATGATTGAGTTACTTTACATTTTAGAAGTAGGTTTAAACAAAACTATTTTAGAATTAGAATTACTAGATAAAACAGGGTTATATTATGAAGGAAATTAATTAGATTTATCAGATTTAATAGAAGAATATAAAGTATTGATAAGAGTTGTAATGAGTAAAATGGAACCTGCAGCCAAACAAAGTATTGGTCAACAAGACACAACTGATACATACATAGGTACCTAACACACTAAATTCAGCATCACACCCATTCGATCCTGAAGATTCAGGAGAAGAATTTCAGTATTGATCCAATCTATCATATATACATATTCATGTACCGCAGACGGGTTATATACAATCACACGTCTTCGCTTATGTACCAAGAAGCCCCATCATAACATCATAATGCTTTGCCAGAACCAAAAGGAAGGAAATAGAAATTAAATGCTCGCAACGATCTCACAAAATAAATAAGAGCAACCGCCCAGTTTTTCGTAATTTTTTTGCCCTGGCGCCGTGTCACCCAGTCCATGGAAATGCAAATCATCCTGCTGCGTTTCGATCTTGTGCTGCCTGTAATAGTTATGCATTAGTAGTCTCTCCAAAAGGGTAAATTAAACAGAAGACATAAGAGAAAATAGAACATACCTCCACCGCACGCGCCCAGTCAGTCCTCATCAAGAACCAACCCTCAATTGCCGCTACTAATCCCAACGCCAACGCAACACCTAACCACAATCCCTCCAGTTGCCATCCTAGACCGAACGCGGTGCCAAAACTGATCGGCATAGCCAATACATAATAACAGAAAAGATTGACATATCCACCTATTTCTTGCCTTCCTAATCCTCTTAGTAATCCGTTACAATTTGCTGCTAGTGCATCAAAAAGCTGAAATGCTGCACAGAGAGGAAGGACGCTAGCGACAATGTTTATCACGTCCATGTCGTCGGTAAATAGACGTGGTACAATGTTGCGGAGAGAAGAAATGAGTGTGAAGTTGAATAGGCCAACTATACAGGCACCATAGATAGCCTAGTAGCAAGTGAGCACGTGTTAATCGAAGAGTGGTGAAACAGACATGTGAGAATTTCGGATTGGGAGGGAAATACATACCACTTTCGAGCTAGTCTTAGCCGCATCTGAAAGGGTGGCGCCAATGAGATTGGCTACGCGAGTCGATGCTGCAATAGAGATTGAGAATGGAATTTGGAAAGTCAAAGCGGTTATGGTAGTGAGAACACTTTGAGCCGCAAGATGCGTTACGGAGAAGTAACTTGATGCTAGAGTTAAAACCTCAAATGCTAAGTACTCTGCTAATACCATTACGAGACCAGGAAGAGCGAGTTTGATCATTGGACCTGATTTTTATTAAGAAAAATGAAGAAAAAAATGGCGCAGTTCAAAACTTACCCCAGTTGTGGAATGCTCTCCATGTGAATCCATCCCAACATTCTTTTCCATCTACAAATCGAACGTAGAGAAATAGTAAAAGAGGTAAGAGATTGTCTGTCACAGCAACAGCGATTGGAGCTCCAATGAATCCCCACTCAAACTGCCAAACAAATAGCCAATTCATGAAAGCATTGAGAGGTGCGCAAATGAGTAAAACATAAGTTGTGGCAGAAAATAATCCTTGTGCTTGTACAAATCTTTTCGCACCTTCGAAAAGTGCAAATCCGGGAGCGCCAAGCAGTAGAATTCGCAAATACAGTCCTGCCAGTTCTGCGGAACGTTTCTCGGGCACGATGGTTTCCAAGATTTTCTCGGCACTCAACCAGACTATTCCAATTGGTATGGTCAAGGCCCAGAGAAACCATACCATTCTCTGTAACTGCAATCCGACTAGACCCTTTCTACCAGATCCATATGCTTGTGCACAAAGCGTATCCAAACTTGTAGCCAATCCTTGATAGATAGCGTATCCAGTAATGTTCGCAGTCATACTAGCTAAACTAACAGCGCCCAATTCTACTTTTCCAAGATGCCCCACTGTGAATATACTTGCGACAGTGAGGGAGTATTGGAGGACGAAAGTCACAATTAATGGACTCGAGTATCTTACTAATGTTTTCGCCTCTCTTTGCCATGTTGTTTTAATCTTTCCTGCAGCTACAGCTTCCTCCCACTGCCTGTTTAATCGCTCATGACGCGAACGCGCAGACTCGTGCTGTGCGTTTGGCAGCAATGCTGAAGTCTCCGAGGGTGCCCCAGCCTCTTCATCGCCCATTGGCTTTGGTATTTTTGTGCTAAACAGTTTCCTGTATAACCGATTGAAAGCGCTTCGCTTCGCCGGTTCGGGGTGCTTTGGCGGGGCTAGATGATTGTCCCTCAACAGACTCCTTTCCTCATTTCTCGTTTCGTGTCTTTCCTTCTTCGTCAACCATGCTGTTTCTTTGAATTGAGGGGTGACGGCAGGACGTGTGCCACCGAATGCCACAAAACTTGGCCGCCGATACGAATGCGTCATTGAATGTTGAGCTTCCGATTGTCGAATTGTAGAAGCTTCTGAGGACTCGTCTCCAGAGCTGGTACATTCATTATGTTCTGGTGCTTCTCCCTCATCTGCGGGGTATTCTGCTAAATCGCGCGCAAGTGATTCTTGAGCGATGGGTGAGCTAGATATGAATGAAGTGCTGAAAGGAGATCTGGAGATTGAATCCCGCTGATGCCCCTCGTCTCTAGATTTGACCGGTACTGGAAAAGGAGACGACATTGTTGCACAATGGTATATTTCTTATCAATGTCGAATGATCCAGGAGATTGTTAATTGTGTCTGATGAGAGCGAACTCTTCTTTTCTCTCAGTTATTAACAAAAGGACTCAAACAATTAATTGACGCAATGCATGCAATGACGGTCCTACCATGATCTTCACTCAGGAGCAACAAATGAATAAGGAAAAAGGGAGAAGAAAATCGAGCATATAAAAAACCAAGCAGAGGTCAATTGAAAATCGAATGCGAGATCACTCACCGTCCATGCCAACCCAGTAAGATGCTAGGCTCTCTCGCTCTTTTTTTAGTCTCTACGGAGCAACAAATGGACGCAATTGCCATTCAAAGCTCGTGAGTCCGTTTTCATCTTGTTACATACTGCATACTTTGTACTGGTCCCTAGCATGCTGACAATGATTGCGCGGGAACGGCGACCACCCCCCACCATAGGTACATGTCTTACATCCAGTCCTCTGTGTTTGTATGCAAAAAAGGTTCCCCATCCAATAGCCAGTTTCGATCATTGTGACTGACAGTTGGTCACTAGGCCCCAATAGGCAGGTATTTCCTTTAGAATAGGAATATCGGGGAAACCACCTCTTGAGGTACAACGATTTCCGCACACCGATTCCGATAAGATCTTGTGAGAAGATAGCAAAAGTGGATGGTATTCCGTAGGTGATGGAATAATATGATTTGTCCAAAAACTAGAAAGAGCCAGCCACCAAAAGCATAAAGGGTTCATGTGGTTATCCGAACAATCGGAGCGGATTAATGATAGAACGAGCCCCATATTTGATCATTCTGGGATCCGCCTTTCCGCTGCACGAGGAATAAAGTCCGGGGTATCGTTTCGGTGAAGCTTGAACTTTAATAATTGACGAAGGAATACTTCAACAAAGTCTTTCTCTCACACCTACCTACATAGTAGCAACACTCAATTGATACCCAACTTTCACTCTCTCATTCTAAAGAGTCAATATATTCCTTCAATGTCTCGCAGCCCACAGGAAGAATGTCTAGGCTCTCAGCGGGAAATATACTCACCAATTTATTTCCCTCGTCGTCCAGCACCTGTTGATGTCGCCAAGTATGTTTCGTTGTTTCTTTCCATGAATCGCGTGTCTCAAATACCGTCTATCTCATATTCCTGTTCACCAACTCCTTCACATCCCATCGATGAGAACTGATGAACTTTCTCTAGCTACCACGGCGAATCGGTTTTCTGCACACCACCTCTTTTCGGTCCTCTCCTTTTCGATAATGTGGACTCCGACTGTCGCGATCATTGTGCTAATGAGCGAACGTTTCTCTCCTACCTCCGCCTTTCCATTTATATGACTATCGTTTCCCTCGCCATAGTGCTTTCCTTTCATTTGAAATCTACTCCCACCCAGCTCGAACTGCGCATGGCACAACCTCTTGGCATAATCTTTTGGGTACTGTCTCTTCTTTGCTTGGCCTTAGGATTTGGGAACTATATGAAGACGGTCAATAAATATAGTCGGAGAGTGGCTATTGTGCAGAGCGGGTGGAAGACTCAAGGGGTGAGTGGTGCATTTTCTTATCTTTTCCTTCCCATGGGATTGGCAATCCCAAGGGAAACTTTTCATGAACTTTGGCTGCGACTGTGACGTGTCTGCAAAGAGATAAATTTCGAGTACTTTTGTACAGAGTGAAAGAGATTTCAGTTCTTGATGCACCGGTACCCAAAGGTGCATAATGCTCTGTTTATCTTCACAATGGACGATGAAATCCCATGGATAGGCTAATTTTAAATATATGTAGGTTCTTTCAACAGTTGCACTCTCAATAATAGCAGTTTGTGTTTTGTTTTTGGCAACAAGTTCAAAAAGAACATAGTATGAGAAACCGAATTATCAGAGTTTACAAAGGTATTACACGATTTTAAGCCTGTTAAGCATGAGCACGGCGCTCTTCAAGTCATTCTGTTTACTTGCATGATTCATACCATCATCGAGTCCAACACTTACTACATAAGATTCGGGACTCGGCTCTTTGACCATAGCCCTTTTCGGATAACTTGGTCATATCTGTTTCTAGACTTCAGCGTCCGATCAAGTAACATCCCAAAGTGTCCGCTGGGATCAGAAGTTGCATCGCGGGGGTTTTGAAGGGGATAAACTCATGAATAATGAAGTAGAACTAGCCGATCATTTGGCAATATTTAGACAGGTTTGAAATTATTATGTATGTGATGAAACTAAGTTATGAATATGCAGAACTAGCAGAAAGACAAAGGGGGAATTGACAATCTTCAAAGACTCTGGATCGCTATTTCAAAAAGTTCGAATCTTTAACGATGACTAGTGACAGCCTGCTTGATTAGCAGATGCCTGACAAGTGACTGATGCATATATTTTCATGACTGCACGACTAGAATTTGTGGCTATATCACAGATGATGGTTCCAAATGCAGTGAGTGATAAATAGATATTCTCCCACACAATGCAAGATCTGCTTTATTTGGAATTGGAACCCTGGTATTTGGGATCTTGGGATTAAGATGAGGGTTCCTCCCTCTTGTCGAACGAGTACTTCTACTCTGACATTTTATTGTGAATACGTACCTTGAGCCCCCCGATTCTAATATACAACTCTTAGGGACCTCACCGGGGGTTTACTTGGAACATTCGATTGGGGCATGAAGGCCCTTGCCAGTAGCAAGATGTACTTGCCGGCAGCAGGTATTCAACTTGAGTCTGCAGTACTTGATCTTCGGTTCAATGAAGTATTAGCTAGATCGGGAAACAGCTGGCCTGTTGCTTTTCATTGCATTGTTGGATTAGTAGTAGAGTTCTTTACACTTCCGATTGATTTCAGATACTCGATTTCACTCAGCATCGGAGCAGGTCCCAGAATTCAGTGGTTTTGTGCCTAGTCGTGCTTTCCTCTTACTTTGTATTAATGGTCACGATTTCTGCAACTCAGCAAAGGAGGCAAGCGCGAGTAAACACATTTCCTGTCTATATCATAGATTTTTGAACTTATCTTCTTCTTTTCCTCAAATAAATACACTCCATTTTGCTAAACGGAGATTTTGATCACAACTTGCTTTCAATTTTGCTTGCTTGCTTGCTTCATTTTGCTTTTTGCTTTTTGATTCCTTGGTCCGACACAAACATCTGCCGTATTGTGTGACGTTTTTGATTTCTCAAAATGGGATTCTACATCCTTTCCTCCCTATTCCTAACGTTCCAGCTCAGTAGATTGGCATCGTCAATACGCCTCGGACATCGTGATCTCAATGCGGACTTTCTGCCATGCTATGATTATATCATTGCTGGAGGTGGTATTTCTGGACTCGTCCTTGCTAATAGGCTGTCTGAGGACCCTGAGGTAACAGTACTGGTTATTGAAGCTGGCAACCTGTAAATATTTCCCATCAATGTTGCTTTCCATTGCTAACACTTACCAAGTGACAATGACGAATATTTCATCAAGTATCCTTTTGAAAATGGAGAGGGTCTGGGCTCAAGTTATGACTGGAACCTTTGGACTGCCCCTCAAACATCTCTTGATGGTTCCTCGCGACCAATGGATCTAGGGAAAGGTGTTGGCGGTAGCAGTCTCATCAATGGCATGTGCTGGACTAGAGGTGGAAGTGCCGATTATGATGCATGGGTAGCTCTTGGAAACCCTGGTTGGGGATGGAACGATCTCTTACCTTACTTCAAAAAAGTAAAAACATATCCACATCCCTCCAAACGCAGGCTAACTGTATGTTCGATCAGACTGAGAACTACACCAACGATGTCGATGCTGCTTTTGCCCATGACCTCTATATACACCCAGATACTTCGACGCACGGTACGACTGGATATATCGATGTTTCGTATCCGAAATACTTCTATCCTCAATCTAGTTAGTTGTCTAATCTTCCTTGCCTCTACAGAGTACAATAATCTAACAAATAATCAGAATTGTTTCTGGATGGACTACGAGAGCTTGGAATTCCTACTTTACTCGACCCAAATAATGGTACGACTGCTGGTGGAATGTTGATACCAAATAACCTTTCGCCAGATAGTCAAACACGCTCTGATGCAAGACGAGGGTATTATGATAATTTTATAAACCGCCCCAATCTACATCTTGCCACGGGCCTGGTTGTTATTCGAGCTTTGATGGACTCCGCCCCTTCAGAAGTACTTACACGAGATCTTCCAGCTGGCCAGTGGGTCACCGGTGTTCAGGTGAGTGAAACATATTCAAAATGGTAGCCTAGAAACACTCATTGATATTTCTTAGATTGCACCTTCTCTAAGTACGGTTGTACGTGAGATTTCATGTTCACGAGAAGTCATACTTGCAGCAGGAAGTATCCACACCCCTCAGATACTTGAGCTTTCTGGCATTGGCCAGCCATATATCCTGGAGCAGCTCGGCTTGCCAGTACATATCGATTTGCCAGGAGTAGGAGAGAATTTCCAAGATCATCCCTACGTTGGTGCCGTCTACTATTGCAAGTACACTTATCTTTCTTGCCGGTATCTCATCTCTAACAGTACTAGACACCAACTCTAGTTACCCAACCATTGTACAGATAGATAAAAATCCACAACTTCACACGCAAGCAGAGCAGGAATACTACATCAACAAGACTGGTAGGGTTATCATCCTAGTTTTGAGATTAATACTAACAAATGCAGGGCCCTGGACTGCTGGAGCAATTAACACAGTCGCATTTCCATCACTATCGCAAATTACTTCGAATTGGGCCAATATGATAGCTGATGCAGAGAACCAAGGGGTGACAGACTACTTGGTACCAGGCCTAGATGCAAGTGTTCTATCAGGGTATGCTGCACAAAAAGACCTCATTGTCAAGCTTCTCAACCGTTCTGATGTAAGTGCCTATGAGCTCCTCAACGATAACGTGGGGCTTCTGTCTGTTGCTGCAATGCATCCTCTCTCTAGAGGAAGTGTTCATGTTACAACGGATAATCCATATGTACCACCAGATATCAACCCACGATACTGCTCAAATCCACTCGATCTTCAAATATTAACGGACGCCCTTGTGTTCAACAATAAGATTGTGGATACCGAATCTATGAAGTTGCTGCAGCCAAGACCTTACTACCCATTCCTTCCTGATGCTCCACCCGAAACTTTGATGACTGCGATTGAATCGGGTTTAAGAACGGAGTTCCACGGCTCCGGCTCAACCTCGATGATGCCACGCGAATTGGGCGGTGTCGTCGATCCAGACCTGCGGGTTTACGGAACCAAAAATCTTAGAATTGTTGATGCTGGTATCATACCAATGCTTCCGGCCTCTCATCTGCAAGCACCTGTTTATGCTATAGCGGAAAAGGTATTATGCTTCTCATCAACTGTTTTGTTTCTTGCTGACGCAGTGCTAGGCTGCTGACACCATAAAGCGGGACAACTATGGTTTGTCTCCTCAAGGATGTGGCAAAAGTTCTTCTTTTGCACGTCCAGGTCCAGTCTTATCAAATTTGTCGATAAATTCCTTGAAGTTATCCGCCTCAAATTCGCTACCTAGTGCTACAACTCCACAAATTGTGAAGTCATCAGCTTTAGCACCACCGACCCCTCTATCGTCCTTGCAAATCGTATCTCCTCCGGCAGGATTTCCTATCCCTGGACCACAAGTAGAGAAGATTTCCACTCCACCTGTTCCTAATTTAGGAAGTCCGGCTCTTAGCGCTTCAGCGGTATTCCCTGTTTTACAGGGCTGGAACGATTCTTCACATTCACTCGTCCATGAAATGGGAACTAATGTTGTTGGAACACCAGTGAGAAATTCCATAGCTCAGTCAACAGCCATGAATCTATCGCTTGGTGCCGACATTGGAAGCCCCGCCCTTAGAAATGGTTCTGATATTGCATTTTTATCGTCTGTAATTACCACGGTACATGGTGCTCCCCTTCCCACACCAGATACACAAACTTCTGGCCCCACTTCTAATGTGCCTACATCCACTTCGCAGACCGGATTTACTTCCCAAAATTTACCTTCAAGCGAAAGAACTCAACCAACGATGATCAGCCAGGAGGCTCCCACTCTTACGGCACCAGTCGTAGCAGTATCAACTTCCGCATTGTCTGTTTTACCACCAACTACTATTCAGCCTACGCAAACTACCCCACAATCCACTGAAGCAAGTCAAACCTTCAAACCCTTCACCACCGGCCAGAACGCATTGGCAGATGTCGCAGCTGTGTTTGGTGCAAAGTTTGAACAGGTAGCTGCGACTCTTGTTCCTATTTCTGTAGCAGGTACAAGTATACCAGGACCCACAATTGCATCTCCTGTTTCTGTCCTCGATATACTTCCGGCGTCACCATTGATGTTCAAAACTTTGGAGAGCTCTGCTTTTCAAAGTGTAGCATCAATACTAGAGGACAAGTATGCAACTGTATCAACAGAGCTACTAGGCGGTTGAATGCAAACGGATTACGATCGAATGATTTGGTGTTGCAACGAGATTCTATAGTGAAGATTTTATGTGATTCGAGGATATTGGAATGTACTGAAGGGGAGAGTGGTAGTTTCTGGAAGTTTTGGGAAATACTAGTATTTGCACAACCAATTTTGAACCTGTCACCTGTCATTAGACATAGAGGTTGCGTCTCATTGTAATTAGAAGTATAGTTGCTTGTCCAATGAACATATTATCTAAGTAAGAAACGCTGAGCCCCTTGTGATCTTGTTGCTGACATTAGATTTGATATGTGTGAGGCGTGAATTTTCCTACGACTCTAAATGTACTTTAGGTTCTGGATAAGCTTCTAATTCAAGGTCTTTCCATTATCTGTAATAGTTTACACGGCTGTTTCGGCAGAGAACTCGAGGTATTCAAACCCCGGATGAGGGTACCTCTCCCTAGTCTAATTTTCAGCTGTGGCTACATAGTTCCAAAGGAGGCAATGGTTAGCTAAGCTTCAAAGCTGGTACCATTTCTGATAAGGGCTGTTGGGTGAGTCGTACCTAATTTCTTAACTTGCCTACAATTCTCCACAGATTCGGCTCCGCTTGGATAGATTCATGTTCCTTCATTTCGCACAATCTAATGCATGAGTTATGTTCCTGACTTTTATACACGCGCACATGGCGACACATATGTTCTTGGGGTGAATCCACAGTTCATGGTATTTGGGAATCAATGTATCTTCATTGAGGACCTCGGAAGGAGAGGCTGTATCTGATTGTAGCCGGCGCATTCGTGTTTGAGAGAGACGGGCGCAATGGTAAGCTGGGAAGGAGATATGTGGATGTGCGATGAATTGCAGATGGTGCATGGT